AGTCTGAGAAAATGTTTACAAATGGAAAGATTTCACTTACTGTTGAAAATCTAGACATTTAGCAAATAAGGAGCTCTGGTATCCTGGTGGGTAAGGGGTTGTGCCAGTTCAAAAGCAGGGGAGGGGTCCAGTACATCTGCTGCTCTGAGGGGGATAGATAGGCCAACTATCCCCTCTGCCTTGTTGTGTGTAGCCTCTGAAAAACTGCTGGAGGGTCAGCTATGAGTCAGTTCCGACTTTACTACAGAGCATATTCCCTTAGGGCAACAGAGATACTGTATACTTTTTTCAGACAGGAATATGCTTTCAGATTACCTCAGTCACCACCACTTCCTGGGGCTAGGGTCCCATCTTTCATTGCCCCCTCACACTGTACTGTGGTCTGCCTTTATACCCCTTGGCTTTTGTTTATGTTGCAGAGTTCAAGTTTGCACCCCTTGACCCTAAAGCAAAGCCCTCAATTTACAAACAAGAGGTTCAGAAAGGTCTGCTGACTTGCCTAAAGTCAAACAGCCTGTCAGTGTCAAATCTTCAAGTCTCCTGGGGCCCACTTCTGGTTTGCAACATCCTCCACAGAACTTGACAACCTAGCCACACACATACATCTCGGGGCCCATGCAGGAGGAAGCGTGTGCGATGCGAGTTAGTGTCACACATGAGTAACGTTACACTGCTGACTAAAATATTTTGTCTTCAGCAGCTCCTTGGGAGAAAGATGGGCAGTCTCTTCAAGTTCATATGGCAAACAAACACATAAAGAAATGTTCAAAATCCCTAGCTCTAAAAGAGATGCAAATCAAAGCAACTATTAGATATCATCTCACCCCAGTAAGAATAGCAAAATTCAACAGAACAGCAAACAACAAATGCTGGCGAAGTTGTGGAGAAACTTGAACCCTTACTGTTGGTGGGAGTATAAAATGGTGCAACCACAATGGAAGGGTGTATGGCGCTTTCTCAAAAAGTTGGAAATAGAAATATCATTTGACCCAGCAATTCCACTACTGGGAATATACCATAACTGCCACCCAAGAATATAAACGCACTCCTATTTTTACTGAGCCTTTATTCACAGTAGCAAAGAGTTGGAAACAACCCAAGTGTCCATCAACAAATGAATGGTAGAGAGAACTGTGGTGTTTTGACACAATGGAATACTACGCTGCATTGAAAAACAAGGAACTCATGAATTATTACACAAAATGGGTGACCATGGAGGACGTTATGCTGAGTGAAATAAATCTCAGTCACAAAAGGACAAATACTGTATAATGCCACTGTGTAAAATAGGACTGGTATCGGGGTTGAGGGGAAACTATGAAAAGAGGGGATAAATAATGTATACTGCATTGAAATAAATGGAGAGAACTGTTTAAAAGGGATATATCATTAGGTATTATCTGCATGATAAGAGTCCAGAATGAAAGCCGCATAGTGGGGTGGACTGGGAGGGGATTGTCTAACAATGAAAGATTTTTTTTTTAACTTTTCAAAGAGAAAAGCGAACTAGGGAGAGGAGTGGGCAGGGAGGAAAGTGCAACAATGAATGAATGGAAATCCAAAGTCTCTGTAAACTTTCATAAAAATTAATAATAATAAAAAGTTCAGATCTACAGCCTTGTAACCCTAAGGCATGCGGTTCAAATCCACCAGCTGCTCCGCGGGAGAAGGATGAGCAATCTCCTCCTGTGCAATTACTGTCTCTGAAAACCCACTGGCAGGTGAGCTCTGGGTGGTTCCCACTCAATGATACACAACAACACAACTTGATGGAGGGTCACTGTGAGTTAGAATCAGACGGCAGTGAGAGCTGTTGCATCTGAAGGTTACTGACAATAGGACAAGCCTGGTGGGCTGTGGAAGAGGAGCTCCTCACCCAGAGCCTGGGAGAAGTTCAGTAGTCTGAGTAGCCAGAACTCCCACCCCTATGTCCAGTTCCAGGAGACAGAGGGAGGAAAGAGGAGCAGGAGAAAGAAAGCAGAAGTGGTCGAGGTGAGAACAAGAGGCAGCATGGCCCGAGGCCCAGCAGGCAGAGGCTGCCCCACCTAGGCAGCTGCAGCTGGCAAGGGCCTAGCCCAGCTGCACCCTCCACATCCTTTCTGCAAAAACTGCTGCCATCTGCAGAAATGAAAAGACGTGCAAAGGGTAAACACATTCATTGCTCTCCCCGCCTATCCCTCAGGCAACTGAGGGTTTGGAAAGCAGAGGGTCTTGATCCACAGGTGGTGGTGGTTTGGGCAAAGTGAAGCTGAGACTTCCTAGTCTTGCTCCAGGCCATGGCCAAATGGTCAACTTGCTCAGAGAAGGGGCAGCAATGAGAGGATCAGGCTGGTGGTCCCGCAGCGATGGAGTCTTCCAGGAGGACTTCCCCGTCAGCTCCTCCTCTCCCGGAGGCCAGAGCAGAGCTCCCCCACATCTCCCTGCTGAGTCCCTTCTCTGGAGCCTTAGGTTGTTGCTTTGTACCAGTGAGTCAGAACCGACTCCCAGCGGACCTTCCAGCAGGCTTTCAGAGGCTGTAAAGCACCCTGCAGGTCTCCCATCTTTCTCCTGCAGCGTAGCTGGTGGATTCAAACTGCCTGGTTTGGGGTTGGCAACGTTTACTATTACTGACTAACTTTACTACTAAATAGTAGTACTACTTAGCCACCAGCGCTCCCTGTGAAGCCTTATGTTGTTACTGTTATTGTCGTTAGGTTCTGTTGAGTCAAGTAGGACCCATAGTGAGCCTATAAACAACAGTTCTGTGTCCTGTCCTGTCTTGTGCCAGCCTCACAATCTCTGACATCCTTGAGCCCATTGAAGCAGTCACTGGAGTCTTACTGTTATATGTAAATGAAAGGATGTGGCCTGAGTGAACCCGTGGTGACCCTTGAACCTTCTCCAAGTCAAAGAACATAAGCTTCTTTGAACTCAGCTTCCTCATCTGTAAAATGGGGGCAATATCCTGGGAGACTCCCCATAAGACCCCCATCAGGAGAATTGACTGGGTTCGTGGGAAACTGCCCTGCCCTTGGCTTGACCTCCTGCCCTCCCTCAGCTTCCACCAGGGCCAGTCAATGAGCAAAGACGGAGCTGGAAAATCCAATAGGAAGAGCATGCTTAGCATTTCCCAAGCTAAAAGAACTGAAGCGGGGGGGGGTGGGGTGGCGGGGAATTAAGCCTTGAGTTACAATATTAAAAGAGTCTATGAGCAAAAAATTAAATGATGCAGGAAACATAAAAAAAAATACAGAAGAAACAGTGTCACTGCACCAAAAAGAATTGGTGGATGTTGAACCATGATAGGAGATAGTAGATGATGAAGAACTGAAGGTACTAGTTAACCAGGTCAACTCACTGGAAACAATCCTTCCAAATGATCTCTGTGTCCCTTCCAAAGAATGGTGATCCAACAGAATGTGGACATTTACGAGCAACATCATCAATATCACACACAATTAAGATGATGCTGAAGACAGCCTATAAGAAGTTGCAGCAGGACATTGTCAGGAAACTGCGGGAAGCAAGTCAGGCTCAGGAGAGGCTATGGAACGAGGGATGGATGTCATTGCTGATGTCAGAGGGAGCCTGGGCAAGAGAAAACCAGAAAGAAGTTTGATTGTGTGGACCGTAGCAAAGGAAGGAAAACATTGTGAAGAATGGGAATTCCAGGACACTAAATTGTAACAATAGGGAACCTGTACATGGATATAGAGATAGTTGTTTAAACAGACCAGAGGATACTGAATGGTTTAAAACCAGGAAAGGTGTGCTTCAGGGTTGTTCACTGTCATTCAGCCCACTCTGCTTGCTGCTCGTGGAAGGGATTCCAGATCAGGAGTGGGAGGGCCTGGTCCAGAACGGGCACCTGATCCTAGAGACTACAAGAAGTCTTTCGGAGGAGCCCCTTGGTGCTGTCAACCTTAGGACTTTGGTGAGGAGTAACCTTCTTTGACCAGCTCAAAGAGATTTTGGGTGACAAAGGAAGACAAAGCTCCTTTGGGGAAGACCTGAGAGGTGAGCTGCCCTGGAAATAGTAGGAATTTCAGGGTTGTTAGCTGGGAGCTAGAGTTATAGGAGGGAAATGCCAGAAAAAACTTGATCTAAGGGGCATGTAGCCAACAAGGAATTCTTCAAGCCAGAGAATGGCTGAGAGGATTGTTTTTTTTCTTCTTGTATACAATCGAGTCAGATCCAACTGGCACAGGAGGAGATTGCCTCTCCTTCAGCGGAGCATCTGGTGGATTCTGAGAGGATTTTTAAGAAGTAAAGACCGGTATTCCATTGTTGGTTCTTCTTTGCTCTGAACATTGGAATAGTTCCTCCTGTGTGGCCTTAAATTTTCAGTAAACGTGAGGTTCACCAGCAGCCTGGAGTTGGATGTGAGTGGGTCTGGCTGTGGGTGCACTGGGGCTGGGGAACAGGGAGGCCAAATGGTCACAGTCCCAGGAAGCCAGGGAAAGAAAAGTCACTGAGAATTCAGTCCGATGAGTCAGGACATGAAGACAAAAGGTGATGAAGAGAAACGTTAAGTCCCCCCTCCATTTCCTCGTAGAGGAGGGCAACAGGGGTCATACCACACCCGAGATGTGTAAAATGTTAGGAAGAGGGTGACCCTTGAGCTGCTGAGCTTGTGACTGGCTGGGCGCGTAATTGGGATCTGGATCACACTTGCAGGTTAACTATCCCAGCCGCCCTCAGACACCCCCTCCTCAGCCCCTCTGCTTGCCCCATATCCCCACAGGAAGGCTCTAAGGAGGTGTACCAACAGAGGGGGAACCAGCTGAGGAGGCACCCCAGCAGGGCGGGTGGGACTGACTGGTGCTTCTGGCTGGACAGGGGTTTGAGAGAGGTCTCTTCTTGCCTGCGAGAAGAGGAGGAGCGAGCTGGCCACATGTAGACAAGTAGGAGGCCACGCCTCGAAACCTGGACTTTGGCAGCCCGTGGTTGACAGGCAAGACAGTGTTTCTCCAGCTGCCCAAGGACCTGGGCTTGCTCGTTGAGTCACTGTCACCACCACCATGCATGAGAAGACCTGGCCACTGAGCCTGCTGCTCCTGCTGGGCCTGGGGCTAAGATCTCAGCAGGCGCTGCCCCCACCCTGTGAGAGGTAGGGAGTGGGTAAGCATGGGAATGGAGTGCTAGGTCCCGAAGGCTGGAACTCTGGGTTCAATCCTTTAGAGGGAAGGGAGGGAATTAGGGTTTTTTGCATGGCAGGCTCTGTGGTGGACACTGTCCCCACAAGGCTGTGCCTATGGAAGGCCCAGGAGACCACTGGCCAGAGCCAGCCCCACCTCCCTACCTCCTTGCTCCTTGAATGGTTGGGGAGAGGTGCTGGGGAAGCACGTATTATAAAGATTGTTTTAGCAGCATTTGCACCTGACTTCCCTAGCCATGTATGAGAAAAGGGTAAGTACCAGAGTGAAGCCCTTACTCCAGTGACCACAGGCAAGTCAGACCTCCTTCCTGTTACCACTTCCAAATGGTAGAGGGAACTCACCCTGTCCTGGCTCTGGACTCAGAGCAGCGTCCACATCATCCATTCTGTATCACGCTAACATCTTGGGGAGCTATATTACAAAAACAAGGTTTCTGCCTTCTCAGACCTGATATAAGAAGCAAGAAAATAAAGTACGGGAAATGAAAAGAAGATAAGCATTATCAAGAGCCAAGCTGGTAGGCAGGCAGCTCATGGACACAAACAGAGGGTATTTTAAAGCAAGGAGAGGAAGAGTCTTTAAGGAGGTAATGTTTGAGCAGAATTATGGAGGAACCATTCTTGTGCAGATCTGAGGGAAGTGGGAAGGAATGCAATGCAAAGGCCCTGGGGCCACCATGTGAAGACCAGTAAGAAGGCCTGTGGAGAATGGAGACATGTGAAAGGAAGGCTAAGAAGATGGGCAGCGGTGGGCTCCATGGGTAGGTAGCTCTGGGTGCTGAGACGTGGTTCAACAGAGGATGTGTTTTGAAGGTGGCACTAACAGGACTCGCTGATGCTTAGTGGTGGAAGATGAAGTAAAGGATATAGCTAGCAGATAAATGTTTTCCTGAGCATTATCTTGACTGCCTGGTCAAAGAAGCTGGGTGATCAAGTGTTTTGTCAACCCTTGAGCTTACTACTAAAAGTATGCAAAGAAGATCCTCTGGTTCAGGTGCCCTTGATCACCCTCTCCTGACCACACACGTCCCTCTCCAGTCCCCAGGGAGCACACCTTGACCAGTCGACCCAGATTCTGACCCTCTTCTCTCCTAATGGGGTGGTGGTGCTGGTGGGATGATATTCCTCGTCCCTGAATGTCTCTTCAGCCAGATTTACTGCCATGGAGATCTCCTGCATGAAGTTCAGATGGCCAAGCTCTTCCCAGATGACAAGCAGTTTGTGGACATGCCACTGTCCATGGCTCCAGGTGAGGAAGCAGGGCCCACCATCTCCTGAACATCAGGGGGCAAGACCAGGCAGGAGAGTACCTTGGATTCAGAGAGGGGTTCAAAGGGCCCCCTGACACCCTCTATCCCCAGATAAGGTCCTGCTTGACTTCAGTGAGCTGGCCAAGGCGAACAACAACAACATCTCCCGACAACAGCTGCAGGAGTTTGTCAACAGTCACTTCCAGGCAGTGGGGCAGGAGCTAGAACCTTGGACCCCTGAGGACTGGAAGGACAGGTGAGGCCCTGGACTGCAGTGGGAGGGAGAGCCTGGGGCCTGACTGCCTTTCTGACACCTGCGGGGGCCTTTCCCAGCCCCCGGTTCTTGCAGAAGATCTCGGATGCCAAGCTGCGGGCCTGGGCAAGAGAGCTGCACCAGCTCTGGAGGAAGTTGGGAAAGAAGGTAGTGGAGACCTGAGCCTGGGGACGGAGGAGGGGCCTGGACAGGGCTGTGTCTGCGGTGCTGACCCAGGAACACACTTTAACCTCCTTTCTGGAGGGCACCTCACCTCTTCCCTCAGCCTCCCTGCCCAACATGCCTGCACAGAATCTCTCCAGAAAGAGAAACTGATGAGGCAAAGTGCTCACCTAACACGTCCTCACTGCTCATCTGTGCCCAGAAGCCTCTCCACGCCCTGGCAGCCCAGGCAAACCTTTCCTCTCCCTCCTCCAGGCTGCTCTTGCTGCCTCTAAACCACCTGGAAACTACCCAGAACCATCTTCCGTGAGCTCCTCAGGGCGAGGACTTTGTCTTATGAGTAATGAGTGTTATGATTGTGGCTGACCTCTGCGCTTGGCACATCCTGAAATGTACCTTTATTTCTGCTCAAAAGCTCAGAGAGGGTAGCGGTTTGCACAAGGCTCCACAGCAGGCAGATGCCAGGGTCTCACAGTCGGCAAGGGCCCCATGGTTTGCAGGGGCTCCCAGCCTTCAGACACAGCCTAGAAGTCCAGGTGCTCTGTCCCTCCCAAAATAAGACCAGCAGACTTGTCCTCCAGGAGTAACCTCCTCACTCAACATACAGGAAAAGATACAGGAATGAGCATAAAATAAACCTGAAAGGGACACAGCAGCTCTTCAGAGGGTCCCATCCTTGCTGTTGCTTCACAGTTGGCCCAAAACAGGGGTTTTGTCCACAGCTGGACCAGAGAATGAGGGTGGAGCTGATCTGCTGTGCTTGGTTGGTGGTAACAGTAGAGAAGTGGGAACAAAAGGAGCCCGAAGGGAATGACCTTCCTCAGCTCACCTGGACCACAGTGGCTGCTGCCTGCTGACCACCTGCCCCACTGGGCAGCTGGCCGCCCCTCATTAGCCTTCACTGCAGAAGGTGGCAGGTGGGAGGTGAGGGAGTTGGGGCTCCCAGCAGCCCTAGACTATGACCAAAGCATTGACGGTCAGCCCTACCAGAATACACCAGCCCAGGCCCTTCAGCTCTGCTCCGAGCCTGACCTTCTCCTCAAGCAGCCCTCTAGGGACTCTGTGTTCCCTCATGCCCTCTCCCTGACTCCAGATGAAGCCAGAGGTTCTAAATCATCCTGACCAGTTCTCGCTGATCTATGCTGAACACCCCTTCATCGTGCCTGGAGGGCGCTTTCTTGAATTCTACTATTGGTAAGTCCTGGGGCCTGGGGGTGTCCTGAGCAGATGGGTGTCCAGCGAGGCCTCAGCTGTCCCTTCCCCTAGGGACTCCTACTGGGTAATGGAGGGCCTGCTTCTCTCAGAAATGCCGGAGACGGTGAAGGGCATGCTGCAGAACTTCCTGAACCTGGTTACAACGTAAGAGGGGGTGTGGCTCGGTAGAGAGGGGGGTGTGCCAGAGTTTGGGGCTGGCCTTGGCACTGGTAGCTGGGCAAAGGGCATCTCAGCAGCCTTTCTTCTTGGCAGCTATGGCCATATCCCCAATGGCAATCGTGTGTACTACCTACAGCGGAGCCAGCCCCCACTCCTGACCCTCATGATGGACCGCTACGTAACACACAACAGTGACATGGCCTTCCTACGGTGGGTCCCAGCCCACCCCGCCAGCCCCACTGTCCAGGACCAAGGACCCTTCCTGGGTGCTCCCAAGGCAGGGGGGAGGGTGGGCCTGAGCTGAAACGGTGCTGGGCTCCACCGCAGGGAGAACATTATGACTCTGGACTTGGAGTTGAGCTTTTGGGCTGAGAAGAGAAACATCACTGTTAGCTCCGGGGGAACCAACTATCACCTGAATCGCTATTATGTTCCTTATGGGGGACCCAGGTGAGAACTGCCGGGTCACCTCAGTCAAGTCACTGTGGGTTGCACATCAGGACATCTGTGGGAAGGAGGGCGAGTGGTTTAGCCCAATGTGATGGTCAGAGACCCCCCTCCCCCAAGCCACCCTGGCCTGGCAGGCAGCTGAGTTAAAAAGGCTCCAGGCCTCAACAGAGACAGGGCTGGGATCCGGCCTGCGCCAGGCTGCTCACACCCACCCCCTTGCCAGGCCGGAGTCCTACAGCAAAGATGAAGAGTTGGCGGGCACCGTACTAGCAGGTAAGCAGCAACAGGGTGTGGATGACCTGGTGTGGGGGGCTGACCTGACCAGGGGTCGGGTATGTTCCAGGTGGGGCAGGCCTGGCCCTGCTGCCAGGACTGACTGGACCCCACACTGTGCTCACAGACGACCGGGAAGCTCTGTGGGCTGAGCTGAAGGCTGGCGCTGAGTCCGGCTGGGACTTCTCTTCCCGCTGGCTCTCCGGGGGCCCAAACCTCGATTTGCTCAGCACCATCCGAACCAGCAGAAGGGTGCCTGTTGACCTCAACGCCTTCCTGTGCCAGGCAGAGGAGCTGATGAGCAAATTCTACACCATACTGGGTGAGCACTGGGGCTGGCAGAGGCTGGGCTACCGCCTCAGGCTTGGCAATCAAACTGGAAAGAGGGTCCTGCGGTGACAACCTGGACTTCTCAGCCTGGTAGAACCCTTACTGTTAGTACCACCCAGTTCTAACACCCCATGTCAATCAAAAGCATGGATGGAGCCTGTGTCTTTCTTCTCAATCCTCCTCCTTCCTTCCTGACCTAGAGGTAAGGGGTATATAAGCAGACACCCAAGCCATAAATCCACGCTCCCTCAACCACCTCCCCTCAAAGCAGCTATTCTCAACCTCTCAGACCTGGGAGGTCCACACTGCCAGTACCCCCAGGAGGCCATATGCAGACACCAGGCCAATAGCTCAGGGAATTCCAAGGCCTTTGATACCTGGTATCACAGTGGTTAAATGATTGACCACTTTTTGGAAGGTTGGTAGTTCAAAACCACCTATTGCTGTATGGGTGAAAGATGTGACCTTAAAGTTTTTAACCTAAAAGGGCAGTTTCAGTCTGTCCTATGGGATCACTGTGAGTTAGAATCAGCTTGATGGCAATGGCTAGACTACTGGCTCCAGACAGGTGTGTTCCCTGGTTATGCCTTCTCTTCCCTCAAGGACACAACCACAAGAGGCCCGTGTAGAACCCTGTAAGGCACAGGGCCCAAGGGCAAGGACCCTGGCTGCCTGAGTCTGATGGTGGTATTGCCCCAGGGGATGAAGCTCAAGCCACAAAGTACAGAAATTTGCGGGCACAGCGCATGGCGGCCCTGAAGGCCATTCTGTGGGATGAAGAGAAAGGTGCCTGGTTCGACTACGACATTGACAGTGGGAAGAAGAACCCAGAGTTTTACCCATCCAACCTCACTCCTCTCTGGGCTGGTTGCTACTCTGACCCTGCAGATGCCGACAAGGCCCTGAAATACCTGGAGGTAAGAAAGAGGCAGCAAGGGCAGGGTCTGAGATGTATGAAGTGGGACAACCATTAACACAGACATGCCTTCCTGCGCTGCCATTTCTGAGCCTGCGAGTCCCATTAAAACCACCAGGGGGCAGCTTTGAGCCAAGAAGAGAAGGGCCAGGAGGGAACATGGAGCTTCCCAGAGGGCCCAGCAGCCTGGCTTCTCCCTCACTGATATGTCATATCTGGTACCTCTTAGGACAACCAGATCCTCACCTACAAGTATGGAATCCCAACTTCTCTTCGGAACACAGGCCAACAGTGGGACTATCCCAATGCCTGGGCCCCACTGCAGGACCTGGTCATCAGAGGTGCGGCTGATGGGTACATTCAAGGCCTTGTCCCCAAGGTGTAGTGGTGCTGGGGAGGCCTGGCCAGAGGATTTGGGGGCCACTCACTCTACTCTCTTTCCTCTGAGCTCTCAACCTCCCACATAGCAAACACATGTCCACACCCATGTGGAGTGGAAGCAGGTCTGGATTAATGGCTGGTCTGGGCTGTGGTTCTTGAGGTCTTTGGGCCCTGGACCTCTTTCCCACCTCCGCTCCCCCTGGGGTAGGGCTCTGGAGATTCACGGACTCACTCAGGGTGGTGATCTAGGTCTGGCCAAGTCGCCTTCACCTCAGACCCAGGAAGCGGCTTTCCAGCTGGCCCAGAACTGGATCCGAACCAACTTTGATGTTTACTCCAGAAAGCTGGCCATGTATGAGAAGGTACGCTGCCCTGAGGCCAGGCCCCCTGGGGCACAGCTGAGATGGGGAAGGCCTGCCATCAAGTCAGGGGACTGTGGTGGCACCCAGTGGTCATTCTTAGACATTGCAGGGTGCAGTGGGCTTGAGTGCAGGGGCTCCCACTTGGTTTTCCCTGTTGGGCTGGGCTGGCGGTGACAGGGTACAGCCTGATCTGCAACTCGCCTTCTTGCCTCCAGTATGACATCAGCACCGGTGGACAACCAGGAGGGGGAGGGGAGTACGAAGTTCAGGTGAGTGGGCCAGGAGCCCAGTTCTCACTGGGAACTCTGGGGCCACAACTTCCCCAGCCTCTGCCTCGGTCTCCTCACCTGTGGGTAGGTCCATGGGGAGGAGCCATGTCCGGCCTGAGCAATGAGGGCCAGGATCTCTGGTTAGATCCCAACCTCAAGGGGACATGGGGGCTGTGACCTGAGATCTCGACCCAACTGGATACACCTCTCTCCAGGAGGGGTTTGGCTGGACTAACGGGATGGCTCTCATTCTCCTGGACCGCTATAGTGACCGGCTAACCTCGGGGGCCCAGCCAGCTCTCCAGAAACCCCACTACCTGGCAGTCACCCTCCTGCTCAGCACCCTGCCCAACCTCTTGCCATGACATAGAGGGCACTGTCCCATCGGCCTTCATTCCTCATTAAACCTCGCCATGAACCTCTACCCTCTCCTGACTCTTTTTTGAAGACTCTCTGCCCTTCCCCTGGAGAGAAGCCACGCTCTATTGACCGCTGAGTAAGGGCAGTGATGTGAGCTGAATTTCACTAAGGTGAGATTACTGCTCTCAGGGGAACATTTAGCCTCTTATCACATCCCAGCCTCACACCACACACAGCCCAAGCTCATCAAACTTACATACTTCAAATGCTTTATTATTCTGCTGAAATGTTTACAAATACTGAAAAACACCCCACTCGGCCCAGGCAACTCTGGGCCCGGTGCTGAGGGGAGAGCAGGGGTTGGAATTAGTGTTAAGGCTGAAGGGCTGCTTGCTCACTTGCGCTCCCACTTCCTCACCATTCCCTGGCTGGTGGGAGGGGCAGGCCGGAGCCCAGGCCCTTCATCTTTGCTTCCTCTCCTGCTCACACTTCCCCTCAGGAAGCTGCTGAGCAGCCCTCTTTCCCTGTCAGAAACTCAACCCTGTGCAGAACAAGAAGGGCCTTCCGGCTTGCTCTCCCATACCATCATCTGCCCTCTGGGTGCTCGCTCTCCCGGCTTCATACCTCTGGCTCTAAGCAAGGCACGAGTGGAAGGGAGAGAGTGGCCTGGGGCCAGCAGGCTGTGTGCCAGGGCCTGGACACACACAGGCAGGGGCGGGTGGGAAGTGCCCAGGGATCCAGGCTGGAGAGATGGTGGGACATACCCGTGGATGGGGCTCACAGACTGGCATAGGCACTAGGCCACGGTGCCATGGCAATGCGGGTAACCATGGTGATGAAGCCAGTCACTATGGGGACCAACCGTGAGGATGGGGACCAACCATGAGGATGGGTCTACAACAAGGGGTGGGGCTGAGACCTCAAGGATAAAATGGGGTTGAGAACAATGCTGCCTGAGCTGTTACCCAACTCTGGATGTGGCTCTTTCAGCTCCCGAGACCCTCACAAAGGGAGCTGAGACAAGAGGGGATCTTTGGCAGATTCTGATACCATAATTTGTCCTTTACAGAAGAAAACAGGTGGGAAAGCGGTGCTGGCTCTGCAGCAGGCGCTCTCTGCGGGAGCTCCGAGGTCCAGGGCCCTGAAGGGTTAGTGCAGGTTCCAGGTTCTCAGGAGGCAGCAAAGCCCCCTCCCCGTCTTTCATTGCTTGGCTGGTTCTCGAGGGGCCGGAGCCTCTGGATTCCTCACAGAATACTACAAGCCTTCTTGCACCCCTGGCTTCAATCTCCCCTCCCTGTCAAGCCCACTGTGGGAGCATCTCCAGGGTGGGCAGAGCAGCAGGTGGCTGGGCCTGGGTTGTCCAGCCAGCCCAGAGATCCAAGGAGACCTGTGGTGGTCAGTTCATGAACTGAGTGTAGCCCTCGGCCCCGGTGACGATGACATCCATCCAGATGCGCATGGCCTCTGCAGACGGGGCCACCATGTAGTACAGTCGGTCATGGGTCTTCACACAGAAGGTGAGGGCTGGGTTTGGGCTCTGCCAGGAGAGAAGAGGGTTTGAGAGACCTCCTCCCAGGTGCCCCTCACTCTCAAGAAGCCCTGGAGCTCAGGCTGAGGCCCCACCAACCTGTCTAGATCCTGTGCTGGACTGGTCAGGGCTATACCCTGCTCCCAGGCGGGGTACTGTTCTCACCCCCCAAGGCTAACAGAATAGTGAATATCAGAAGAATGAGACCCCAAGACTGTGCCAGTGAGGACCAGAGTCTCCATTAGGAAAAAACAAAAACAGGGCAGTAGATAAGAAAAACCAGGAGGGGTTGCTGGGCCCTGAGCCCCAGAGGAGTGGGATCAGGGAGTTGGGGGCTGAGGCTGGCTTCCTAGTCTCCTTACAATCTCCACCACTCTACAAAATCTCTGAGGGACGCCGTACCTCATACCCACCTGCTGTCATCTCCAGAGAGGGAAAGCAAGGGCTCTGGCCTGGGGGCTACCTGCTCTCCCCAGCCTACTCCCCACCCTCTGCAGGCCCAGGTGGGGATAGGGGTATCTGAGGGGACAGTAAAGGGTCAGAGTGAGTAGGCCACAGGAGGCGTTAATGAGCAGTAGTTCTGGTTACAGGGGTAAGGGGTACCTCAGTCACCAGCGTGAAGCTGAAAAACTTCTTCTGGGGAAGATGAAAGGGAAAAAGGAAGAGAAAGTTGAAGAGGACAGGGAATGAGTCTATCTGACGAAATGACTGCAGGCCTTTGTTCCCAGAGCCCCTGGGCCCACGTTCCCAGCGACAGCCCCTCTGCTCCAATGTTGCTCCCCCCTCCACTGCTGACCTTGGCTGCACTGCGAAGGTGGTCATAGTACACCTCCTCAATTGCCTGGAAGTAGATGACCCCCTTCAGCTTCGTCTCGTGCTTGTCTGCAAAGGAGAGAGAGAATGGCCAGGCTGTGGAGGTCTATTGTCCTCAGGCCATGCCCCACCACTGATAATTCCCGTGGGTTTCCACTTCCCCATCTGGGAAATGGGCAGACGGTCTGGGCTTCCCAGGACTTCATAACACCACCTACCACACATCTGTAAGATACAGCTGATGCCTAGACACACTCAGATCACAAAGAAATGCAAATCAAAACCACACTGAGAAACTAATGTGTCAAGGGCGCAAATCTAACAGTGTGATAGAGCACGCTGGCCAGACTGTGAAGGTCCATGGAGACCATGACAGACAAGGGGAAGGAGAAATGGAAAACCCCATGGTCAATCTGACCGTATCTATCCAGAGAGGCACTTACCCCTGACCCCATGATAGTGCCTCTGAGAGTTTATCTTAACATGTACAAAGTAACAAATTTACAAAGGTTATTGTCTTGTTGACTGCAGCAGCAAAGGACTGGACACCACCACTGGTCCATCCCCAGGAAGCTGGTTAATAAATAACGGCATACTGCATGAGTACACAGAATGAAACAGCTGATAGAACTAGCACTCAAAAACATGCTTGTAAGATTCCCTTCAGAGCAGGGGGAAATACATCCAGACAGAAGTATCTGGATATTGCTCTAGCTAACGTAGAAAAATTCCCTTCTTGGATATAGACGAGGACGCACGAGAGATGCGAGCAGGTGGTTATCGGACAGGCTGCGAGCACAGTTCTCAATGCAGACCTTTTATCATGTTGTGATTTCTGAACCACATGGTCATATTCCCCTTTCACTGAAATATTTACAATGGAAAGGCTGCAGGTAGTGTCTGGAGGGCAAGGGTGGAGGGAGGAGGTGAGCAGACCCACACCCCTGGAGGGGTCAGTGGGGGAGGGCAGGAGCACCCTGGATGGAGGGCTGCACCGACCCTTTCTTGTCTGAGACACAGACTCGGTGAAGTCACTACCGCACCGACCGTCACAGCAGGCTGGGGTGGCTGAACCTGCTCAGGCCTGAAGCTGAGAGCTGACCTCCCACATGCCCTCCTCTGCCCTCCCTGTGTTATCTCAGCCCGCAGCAACACCCCCAACAACTGCATAATAACCCCCCCCGACCTCTGCTCCCTGGGTCCCCCTCCATGACAGCGACAGGTGAGCTTCCCCGCGTGAGCCTGACGCTGCTCTTCGCTGGCCCACAAACTGCTCTGCTGGCCCCTCACTGGGAACCAGCTGCCCCTCGGCTTGGCAAAGGCTAGTTAACAAACCAGTGCCAGCACTGCCCTCCAGCTGGTCTCACGCTTCTCCCCAGCACCAACTGTACATTTCATCTAGCCAAGCTTGACAATATGCTCGTTCCCTTAACAACCAACATGCTTGTCAGACATGAGATAGTCTCCTCTAGCCCATTCCTTTGCAAATTCCTAGGGGCTCTTCAAGAGCCACTGCAAATGTCACACTGTGGTGAACGGTTGTGTCCTCTGATGACTATTTAACAAATTCCATGTTGCACTGTGAGCATGAAGAAGCCACGTCAATTCTGCTGGGACTTCTACTACTTCTCCCCTCAAGGTGGGAGAAGTAGATTGAAGCCTGTTGTTTATGGTATTTAGCTATTAACTATTCATGCTCTGGCAGCATAGTCCATAAGGAGCTGCACACTAACCCAAAGGCTAACCTCTCTGATGGTTTGAATCCACCAGCATCTTCCTCGAAGAAAGATGGGCAAGCTTCCTTCATTTACAGCCTCCCTGAGACAAAGATGGGCAAGCTCCTTGTTTACAACCTCCCTGAGACAAAGATGGACAAGCGCCTCTCGTTTACAACCTCCAAAAACTCACTGGAGGGTCAGCTAGGAGTCAGTTCTGATTCAATGGCAATGAGCTGAGACAAGTTTGAAATTCAGAGGATAAAGATCCAATGATCTAGAGAGGCTTAGTTTAATGAAAAGGTCTGTTTTCGTGCAGTTGATGTGAACTAAGGTCTTACAGACCCTATTTCAGATATTAAGTAAAATCTACTTATTTAGGACTTTAAAGGCTCTTGGCCTGATGTGACTCACATCTCTAGTGTAGAAGAGTAGGGCTGATGTTAGTGGGTCTAGGAGGGCTGACAGGGTTCCACATGTGGGCGGATGTGGAAAACAGGAAGCCTTCCTGGTTGGTGAGGGGGTAAGGAGAGGCTTCACAGAAGTGGTTTCGGACCTGGCCTGCAGATGGGAAGAAGGTCGAGCATGGGTAGGTTCAAGACAGAAAGGGGCAAGGTGGCACAGCTGGGGCCCTAATCCAGCTAATCAGCATCTCTCCTTCCAATACGGACTGGCCCTACTCCACAAACACAGCTTTACCAAGCCTCAGGCCGCCTCTGGCCCCAGGCTACCCCTGCGGCCATTCCCTCCCATCCCCGTACATCACTGGAAATAGTAACACGCGCCCGCCCCCACTTCCTCACCACCCACTCATCCTTGGTCTTGTGCAATCTGGCACACATCCCTGAGCAGAGCGGAAATCCTGCTGGACCAGCTCATCCCCGAATCTAACTAATGGCTTCTGGGTACACATCATTCCTGGCCTTTGGGCAGCAGCCATGCTGGCTGT